GCTCTGTTGCCCAGGCTGGAGTGCAGTGGCACAATCTCAGCTCACTGAAACCTCCGCCTCCCAGGTTCAAGTGATTCTCCTGCCTCAGCCTCCCAAGTAGCTGGGACTACACACACGTGCGCACCACCATGCCTGGCTAATTTTTATATATATATATTTTTTTTTAGTAGAGATGGAGTTTCACCATGTTGGTCAGGTTGGTCTCAAACTCCTAATCTCGTGATCCAACTGCCTCGGCTTCTCAAAGTGCTGGGATTACAGGCGTGAGCTACCATGCCCAGCCTAGCCTTCATTTCTTAATTTTAAATTTTTTAACTTAAAACATAAATATGTATTAGGATGTCTTTGATCAGTATGTTCAAATAAGGGTGCGCAGCATTAACATTAACACAAACTTGGGTATGTTAGCAATTAAGTAACAACTACCATGCTGAAGGTGATAAAGACCTTCCAGGATGATAGCTGAAATCAAGCAGAGACAAAGAAGTATGGGAATTAAAACACTGGCCTCCTGCACCTGTTTTATTTTCTGGCAAATGATAAAGTTTACAGCTCTCCAGCATCGTTCCTACATCTGACTTAAGTCTGTTTTGCCTCTCCCTGTACCAACATATTATCTGAAGTTTTAATCTGCACTGAAGCTTTTGGCTGACTCCACAGTTGTGACTGACCAGGTCTGGACGATGCACACTCCTAGTCTTAGGTAGGAGGGCAGATGCTTTCATGGAAGATGTGGAAGAGACTGTTGGTGGCTGCCACCATCTGTCCTTCTCCTCTTTCACATGAAACCAGCTCTGGTTTTCTTCAGGGCACACAGGTCACCCAGACGAAAGTCTGTTTCCCAGCCTTTCTGTGGCTGGGTGTGGCTGCATGACCAAGTTCTGGCCAATGGGATACAAGTGAAAGTGTTTTGTGGAAGTTTCTGGGCATCTTTTGCAAAGGATAGCTGACCTGTGCCTTTTGCCACTTTCATTTTCAACCTTTCCTTCATTCTGTTGCCTGGAACGTGGACATCATGGCAGGATCCCTACCCTCTACCTGGAGTTCAGGCTAAGAGCTTACTTTCAGTTCAGCCAAAACAAAAGCTGGAAGGAACCTGGGCAAATGAGGACTTCAGGAAACAAAACTGCCATACCAGCTCAGGGCTGCTTATGTCTAGATATTTACATTACAAATAAACTATTTTGTTTAAGCCAATATTATCTCTATTACTGGCAGTCGCTCCTAATCCTAAGGAGTAGAGAATAATGTTACAGCATCTTCTAAAATGTACAAAGCTTTTTATCACTGACTCAGCCAGTTTACTTCTCAGAACAATCCTACAGCAGTGGCTCTCAAGCCTGACTACATATTGCAATCATCTGAGATTTTGAAAAATACGAAAGCCCAATCCCCTCCCCAGAGACCCTAATTTAAAAATTGGTCTGAGTGGGACCTGAGCTTCAGTATTTCCTTAAGTTTTTTAAGGCTGGTTGAGAACCATTGTCCTAGAGAAATACCCACACAAGTATTTCCATGCATGTATGAGGCTGTTTATGGCAACGCTCTCTAATACTAGAAACTGGAAACAGCCTGAGTGTCCACTGATGGAGAAGCAGGTAAAGAGTTAAGGTATATCCACAGAATGAAACGTTATACACACTGTTAAAAACACAACAGGAGACAGACTGTCAAGAGAAAGGAAAAAGTAGGCACATTATTAAAAAATAGTTATTTTATTTAAAAGTCCAATATACATATAGGAAAAAAAATCTGGAGATGTATATGTCAGCCTGTTAACAGAACTTATTGCTAAGCCTTCCCTTTGCCCAGAATTACCCTCTTCCCCAGAGCACCAGACAGCTTACCCTCTATTACACTGATCACTTTCAGAGGGTTTCCCTGGTCCCCCATAAAATAGGAAGAAACTCATTCTAATCCTCCTTCATCTTTCTTCACAGCACTTACTGCCACCGGACACACATATTTACTGCCTATTTCCCTTTCCATTAGGAATAAAATGACATAAGAAGAAATATTTCAACTGTGTTGCCTGCTAATATTTCCCCAGTGCCTAGAACACTACCTGGCACACAGTAGAGGCTCCATAAATATTTGCTGAATCAATCTCTGGGAGAATTAATTATAGACTTTACACTGGGACACACACACACACACACACACACACACACACACACACTATTTTTTGATATTCTCTAATACTTTTATAATCTAAAAAATAGTTGTTTTTTAAGGTTGATTTAAGCATTTTATTTCTTTTCTAAGTTCGAATCTCCTGAAAATGAAAACAGAAATGCCAGTTGCCTTTTCTATAAATCAACAGGATTGTCTTTGGAGATGTCTTAGTCTTCCAGCTATAAACTCTCATAACTACTTCTCAAAGCCAATGATCACCTTTTCATAGCAGATTCACTACAAATTTAACCAAACATTTTACTGGGTGTCCACTTCATACAAGGCTCTACGCTTTGAATACTTCAGTTACATTACATCCCTTATTGTTTTGTATCGTAGCAATGATATTAATAGTTTATTCTTCCTCAACAGTCAATGCTTTCTCTAAAAAGACATTAATTAACTAATGAGGATAAATCATCCAAGCTCAATTTCAGATTGAGCAGGCATAACACTATTGACAGGCATAACACTATTCTTCTGATATCTAAATGAGTGTTTCCACTGTATGAATTTATTTCACAGGCTAGCTGATCTCAATCATCTTAGAGAATGTGGCATCCCACAAATGACTACATCCTATACCTGTTTAGAGGTTTCTATCAGGAGATGTAAGCTAACCATGTGCTGTTAGCCAAAAAGAAGTTCTACACTGGCAGAGAAGACCACAGTCCTTCATTGAGAACCAGCTTGGGAAGGCATGGAAGGCTGAGGAGAAAGGAACACCCAGGATGCCAGCCAGAGGGCCTTCACATCCACAGAGCTGAGTGCCAATGTCGTTTCCTATTTTCAATTTGTCCAGGGACATATTCAAAGGGGATCAAGATGAAGATAGACATAAACTGTCAAGAGAAGGAACCTCCTCAATATCGCTGTTTCACCCTGCGCCTGCTTTGCCCTCAGTTCTGTTCCTTGCCTTCCACCTGTTCTGCTCCGTATTGCAGGAGGCTGGTTCCTGCAGGCTCAGCTGATCTCTGACTGGGTTCAGACAGTAACAAGGTACTGGAGCTGGGAGAGGGAAGCAAGGGCATTTCCACCCCAAACCTCTCCTCTCTCTTCTGTGGCTCTGCTTTTTGGAAGATGGTCTAGCCGCTCTTGAAGTTGTCAGTTCTGGGTAGCCCTGACCCCTCAGCCCCCTTTCCTCCTCAGCCCAGGGTGGCAGTAGCTTCCTGCTATTGCTAATCTCTGGGTTACCTTTCCGTGCCTTGCTTGGCTCTCAGCAACACCACTGTCTGTTATCACCAACTCCCTGCATTAATTTTTCTCTGTTGTAAATACTTGAAGTGGTTTGTGTGTTCCTGGTTAGAACCTGATACACATATGAATTTCAAAATATGTGTTGTTTCTTATGAATTACTCTATCCAACCAAAGAGGAAAGTTCACATAGTTTGAAACAATTAAATATTTAACATGCACCAGGTTATGACATCCCTTACCGGGGTAAATGACAAAGGAAGAGGCAGCACCTTGGTTCCTGCTGTCCATTTTGGACATTTTAATGTGTGCATGCTGCAACATGAAGAACAATCTCCACCATCTAAATGCTTCTAGCAGGAAAAAGGCAGATTCAAGCATGTTTAGAGTCTAATACAAACAAAAAAGTGAAGGCTGGTGAAATCAGCAAGTGAAAAAAATGGCAAGAACACTGGCAAAACAACAAAATTTTCTAAATCTAAAACCCTGAATTTTTTTTTTTTTTTTTTGAGACGGAGTTTCACTCTTGTTACCCAGGCTGGAGTGCAATGGCGCGATCTCGGCTCACCGCAACCTCCGCCTCGTGGGTTCAGGCAATTCTCCTGCCTCAGCCTCCTGAGTAGCTAGGATTACAGGCACGCGCCACCATGCCCAGCTAATTTTTTGTAGTTTTAGTAGAGACAGGGTTTCACCGTGTTGACCAGGATGGTCTCAATCTCTTGACCTCGTGATCCACCCGCCTCGGCCTCCCAAAGTGCTGGGATTACAGGCGTGAGCCACCACGCCCGGCCCCTGAATTTTTTAAATTGGAATTTTAAAGTATGTTTATATTTAACTATCTAGAACGATGCTTAACAGATTAAATCATTATCCTAAAATATTTGAGGACAGACATACTTTAAGATACCAATAAATGAAACACTCTAGCAAATAAAAATATGAGATCTGATATGTCATTTTACCTAAAATAAAATGTCATCTTCTAATTTTTACTCTTTTCTGGTATGACATATAAAAATAAAAATACAAGATTATGAAAAAACCTACCATTATGTATAATTTACATTAATTATTTTAAAGTGTATTCCTTGTAGACAGCAGAAATTTTGTTTCATTTGTCAAAATATATACTTCCATTCCATTTATTGAGATCACATGAAAAAGCTCTAAAATGACAACTGTCATATTTTTTGGAAAC